GACTGAACATTGTTTACTACTCCTAGATATATTTTTGGTAGGGTTGCAACATTCTTTCAAAAGTCATGACACTAAACTAAGTTCTTAAAAGTGTGTCATTGTGAAAAAGTGTTTCTGAGGGTTCAAGCTCTTTGTAAAAGACACCAAACATTAACACGCTGACAACACATTTCATGCAAAGACTTTTATTTATGAACAGTCTGTAGCACGGGTACAACAGCACAGATTTGTCTGGATTTCTGATCAGCCTCAATAATCATACCAAGTGCGGACAAAATACTGTGCCTCCGAAAACACCTCCGTCTTCACAATAATCTAAAAATACCTTGTTCTGTTTTAAATATGTAGCTTAACATTTTGTAAAATAAAATATACATTGTATGAAATATAACAGTTGTTTATTGGATAGACTATATTGTACCAAATGCAATTATTATATTCAAATACACGTCCTCTGTGACTTGTCGCCTTGTTACATGCACCGAAATAAAAAGGGAGGGAAGGAGAGATGTGGTACTTACAAAAAAAAAAAAAAAAAAAACAAAAAGCTGTACATACTTCTGTATGAAAATAGAAAATATCAAAGCGGGATGTGCACCAGTTGTCTAGGTTATGTTATAGACGTGGCGGTACAAAAAGACCTGGAGGCCGGACCGGAACCTGGTGGTGAACCGTCCACAGAGCTGCTTCCACACAAGCCTCACGCCGGTCCAAATAGGTTTTACCACACAGTTTAATACAGCTGGATCACAGAGTGATATGGTTGCACAAGCAAAGTGGATAATAGCATTTTAGCCTTGAACTTTGCTAGTTTAAAAAAAAAAAAATCCAATGCATAGCATAAAGTTCGGTTTGGCATGTTTGTCAAATATTTTTTCTATTGCTAACCAACTGCCAGTTCTACCCGCAACTTTTACAATACTGATATGTCAGCATCAACTTATGGAACACGCTCAGAAACCGTGACTAGGATTCCAACATCGTTACTAAGCGTCTTTAGCTTAATACTATTATTGCCTAAACAGCTTCACATGTCTTATCTGTTGAAATGAAATGGAGTTGCTGCTGCTGCCCAAACTGGACAGGTTACACACAAGAGGATCATCTCCACCGCGACAGTGTGAACAAGGCACACTGCGATCTGTAGCGCTACATCCATGTCTTCCCGCCAAAAAAACAACACAAACGCGACAAACAGGCGAGGGAATCTCAACGGTTCCAGCCGGAAGTTTGCATAAACCCATCGCGGGCTTTGAATATCAGAGCACTTATTGGGCATTTAATGATTTATTGTAGCCACTCTATGGAATATTTATGCAACATACAGGTTGAATCATTTTTTGAAAATAAGAAAAAAAGGTGCATAAGTTCTATCCTCTTTGTTTGGCAGCACTATGGAAAAAAAAAAAAACTAAGAACAATGGAAACGTCCAAGGGAACAACCAAGTATTGGAAAGTTTTCAGTCATTTCTACACAAGTAGGTGCAGAGGTTGAGCACAACCCACATATGGAGGCCTTAGTCCCTGATGGAGCCGTCGTAGGTTCGATTCCCGGCCTGGTGACCTTTGCCGCATTGTCTTCCCCCTTCTCTTGTTACCCACTTTCCTGTCAATTCACAATCAAATAAAGGTGACTAGAGCCAAAGCAACCTTTAAAAAAGAGAAATTCCCAACTACACAACCGGACATTCTGAGACCATTTGTTCAAACAAATATATTTAATTTGTGTGTAAGTTATGCGAACATGACTACAAATCAGTTTGCTGTGTCACTGTACAACAAAAACTGGCCAGGAACAACCCAGACACCAACAAAACTAAAACCTACCATAAACTGGATATTGCTGTATTTATTACCTGTGTAACCGTTCATAGTTGAAAGAGGTTATCAACCAATATCTGCCTGCATATTCAACACCTTCAACACATGGCTGTTTTCCTCCCCCGCTAGTTTCTCACATGAACAAATCACATTCTGGAGAATTTTAGGGTCAGACGAAACAAAAACTGGACAGTAGACTGGACAATAGAGCTGCGTTTCTATTGCAAATGTGGGCAAAACTTTGTCAATATCGCTAAATATTGACAAATATTTTGAAAAGACAATTTTTGAAATTGAAATGTTTTCATTGACTAATTAAGACAAAATAACACGTGAATGTTTATTCACACATTTGGTTGTTGATCATGTGACTCGTGATGCAAGAAAAGTCTTTACATTGCAGTTTTGCTACTCCCAAATCTAGACACCTCATCCTAGCACCAAAACCTTTGATCAAAAAGGAGTTTTTTTTTTAATTGCTGTGTTTCCATTAAGTAAAAATGCAAACAGGCTCTCATATATATATATATATATATATATATATATATATATATATATATATATATATATATATATATATATATATATATATATATATATATATATAATATATAATAATAATAATTCCCTTCTCACCCACCGCGGGTGGTTCTTATCCTCTGAGCTCGGGTCCTCTACCAGAGGCCTGGGAGCTTGAGGGTTCTGCGCAGTATCTTGGCTGTGCCAAGGACTGCACATTTCTGGACTGAGATGTCTGATGTTGTTCCTGGGATCTGTTGTAGCCACTGCTCCAGTTTGGGGGTTACTGCCCCGAGGGCCCCGATGACCACAGGCACCACTGTGGCACCACTGTGGGCGAGAGATGAAAATGTGGATATAAAATGTGGATATATATATATATATATATATATATATATATATATATATATATATATATATATATATATATATATATATATATATATATATATATATATAAAGAGTCTCAGGTATGAAAAACTGGACAGCACCAGGGCCTGACATGATCCATGCCTACTGGCTAAAGAAACTCACTGCTCTCCATGAGCGAATGGCAGCCCAAATGAACCAGCTGCTACAAAGTGGGACTCACCCTGAATGGTTAACTGAAGGGCGGACAATCCTAATCCAGAAGGATCCATCAAAGGGTCCAGTCCCACCCAACTACCGACCAATAACCTGCCTCTCCACAACCTGGAAGCTCATGTCAGGCATCATAGCGGCCAAGATAAGCAAACACATGGATAAACACATGAGCACGGCACAGAAGGGTATCGGTGTAAATAGCAGAGGAGCCAAACACCAACTCCTCGTAGACCGCACAGTTGCCCGAGACTGCAAAACCCGACACACCAACCTGTGCATGGCTTGGATTGATTACAAGAAAGCCTATGACTCAATGCCGCATACTTGGATCATTGAATGCTTAGAGATGTATAACATCAACAGGACTCTGAGAGCCTTCATTGCAAACTCAATGAGGCTGTGGAAAACCACCCTTGAAGCCAACTGCAAACCACTTGCACAAGTGTCCATCAAATGTGGCATATACCAAGGAGATGCTCTGTCCCCGCTACTGTTCTGCATAGGCCTGAACCCCCTCAGCCAAATTATCAACAAGACTGGCTACGGATACAGACTCAAAAATGGGGCCAATATCAGTCACCTACTCTACATGGATGACATCAAGCTGTACGCCAAGTGTGAGCGAGACATCGACTCACTGATCCACACCACCAGGATCTACAGCACTGACATTGGGATGTCATTCGGACTAGAGAAATGTGGTCGGCTGGTCACAAAGAGGGGGAAGGTCATCCACACAGAAGGGGTCTCACTCCCAGAAGGAACAATAGCAGACATAGAGGACAGTTACAAGTACCTAGGTATACCACAAGCAAATGGCAACCTCGATGAGGTCACAAGGAAAGGAGCCACAGCTAAATACCTCCAACGAATAAGGCAAGTCCTGAGAAGCCAGCTCAATGGCAAGAACAAAATCCGTGCGATAAACAGCTATGCCTTGCCAGTAATCAGATACCCTGCTGGAATAATTAGCTGGCCAAAGGAGGAGATAAAAGCCACAGATATTAAGACCAGAAAGCTACTAACAATGCATGGAGGGTTCCATCCCAAATCCAGCACCCTGAGACTGTACACGAGCCGCAAGGACGGAGGCAGAGGACTAGTGAGTGTGAGTACCACTGTCCAGGACGAAACAACTAAGATCCATAAATACATCAGGGACAAAGCCTCAACAGACAATGTGCTCAGTGAATGTCTCAGACAACAGGGAACGGAGGTTGAGGTGCCAGAGATACCATCATGGGAGGACAAGCCCCTACATGGGATGTACCACCAGCAAATAACCCAAGTGGCTGATATCAGTAAATCCTACCAATGGCTGGAAAAAGCTGGACTCAAGGACAGCACAGAGGCCCTCATCCTGGCCGCCCAGGAACAGGCCCTAAACACCAGAGCAATAGAGGCCCAGATCTACCACACCAGACAAGACCCAAGGTGTAGGTTGTGCAAGGAGGCCCCTGAGACAATCCAGCACATCACAGCAGGATGCAAGATACTGGCAGGGAAAGCGTACATGGAGCGACAAACCAAGTGGCAGGCATAGTGTACAGAAACATCTGCAGAATATGGACTGGAAACCCCAAGATCAAAGTGGGAAACACCCCCAAAGGTGGTGGAGAACGCCAGAGCTAAGATCCTGTGGGACTTCCAGATCCAGACAGACAAAATGGTAATGGCGAACCAACCAGACATTGTCGTAGTGGATAAACATCAGAGGAAAGCCGTTGTGGTTGATGTAGCAATACCAAGTGATTGCAACATCAGGAAAAAGCACGAGAAACTGGAGAAATACCAGGGCCTCAGGGAAGAACTGGAGAGGGCCTGGAAGGTGAAGACCACAGTGGTGCCTGTGGTCATCGGGGCCCTCGGGGCAGTAACCCCCAAACTGGAGCAGTGGCTACAACAGATCCCAGGAACAACATCAGACATCTCAGTCCAGAAATGTGCAGTCCTTGGCACAGCCAAGATACTGCGCAGAACCCTCAAGCTCCCAGGCCTCTGGTAGGACCCGAGCTCAGAGGATAAGAACCACCCGCGGTGGGTGAGAAGGGAATTTTTTTTATATATGGGTTGGAGTAAAATTTTACCCTTTTTCTCAAACCCAGGCACCTAAATCCCTTTCTGAAGTCTTTTGCTCTTGTGGAAAACCTGGTTGAAATAAATCATTAAAAGCCCAAAGTTGAGATGACCTGGATGTAAACTTCCCAGCGGAACAGCACATACAGATCTCTTACTGCCACACGTTACGCATGGAATTACTTTTTTGTTGTTGTTTTTTTTTTTTTTTGGAACAGTATGCGGTTTAACTAAAGACATTTCTAACACAGTGAGGCTGCTGATACTGAGAGCGAACAAAGGGGGATCGCTCTGAGTGTAATCTCCGAGTACGTGAGGAGATTACCAGGTGTTTGGGAATAACACGGAGCCAATAATCTCCGCAGTGCAAATCTAACACTTGTACCTAAAGGTAGAGCTTCAAAGCAAATGAGATTAGCTCCTTGAAATAGACTTTACTACTGGTATTATTCGCTGTATATGACGACTATATTGCTCTTGAGTGAAACTATTCAAGGACCACAGTGTTTCTCCTTGCAACCCAAACTCTTTTAGTACATTCTCGATCACACACGTATAGGAGGGGGGAACAAAAACGGTTAGGAGTTTCATTACGTCTCATACACGTAAGGATTACACAAATCTAATCTCTCAACATACATAAGAAAATATACATTTCAATTTATTGTTTTAGATTGATTTTTTTCTTTATAATCTTAATAAAATCTTATAACTCTTTTATTTACATTTGGTGTAGGTTAATTCTGATTGTAATGCAATACTGTCACCTTGCGTGTGTGTGTGGTTATTTTTTTCTGTTACATTTCTTTTGCTCACTTGATAAACAGAAGCACTCTTACATTCAGGTTTCAACACGGAAGCCCCCAAGATGTGCAGACGAGAATCAACGACACACATTCTTCTGAAACGGACAGATAGATGACTTCTGAGAGGAGGAAGTCCGCTCGCTCGGGAACATAAACTGGTTTTAGAGGCGAAGATGACGGGGTGACACATCTGAGACGACCTAAAGAACCAGCACCCAGCTGTGGCCTTTATTGGCTATAAAAATGCTCTTTCAGCACCAGGACGGTCGCTTCTTGGAGATGTTGGAAGGAGGCAGGAGGGGGAGCCGACTGAGCTACGAGGCGAGATGGAAGTCTTTGTCGGTGGTAAAAAAGCTGTTCATGGGAGAAAGACAGATTTCCACAGTGGTGAAGGCAGTGGTTGGAGGTCACACCCTTTCTACTCGACTGGGGTCGTATGAGTCTGATGAGAAAAGGAGAGGAAAGAAGAGATGAGAGGGCATCCCTGAAAAGGGGGGCAGACTTTCAGCAAATGGGACCTGAAAGGAAGAGTTCAGCAAACACTTTACAGTGTTTGCTTTGTTACAGAGCGAGAGAGATGGAGTCACAGCCTGGTTAGATTGGCTCCAACAGTCATCGAAAAAGATCAGATTTGTTTTTATTTTATTTCATCTACAGAAAAGTGTGTTTCCGTTTTATGCCGAGGCTAACTCAGTAAAAAATGAAACAGACACTGCCAACTGATGATTCTCTTTTCATGGTAGCAAATATTAGCAGGACTCACACTGTCCACACTGACCTGGTTATTATTACTCCACTTGCTTCTGGGTTTAGGTATACACAGACACAGAGCTTTTCCAAAGTAAACGCTTGCTATGATGACTTAAACCTGCCCACTAGTTTTTCTGTTCACCTTTCCACATTTTCCTACTTTAGCCAAGCAGCTGGGCTCAGTTTCTTTGTTTGAACTTTAACCTATGGTGAACCTCTGGTATTCTGGTAGGACTTCACCAACCTATGTACTCCCAAAATACTTGAGATTACCTCTGGAAATACTCTGAACTGCCTATTTTACAGTCTTCCTCAACTTTGCTCTTGGGGATACAACCAATCCGCATCAAGGAGAGTGAATGGCACTTTCAGATTGGCTGCTTTGCAAATGACAGCCAACAGAACGCCAATCTTTTAGTTTCAGATTTTGGTACCTAAAAGATTAGGTACCACCTTTCAGACAAAAAAACATCACACAATCAGTCAAACATGGTTGTGTTGTGTGATGCCCCGGGTGTTTTGCCGATTTGAGACCTGGGCGACTTGCTGTAACGAATGGAGCAATGCTTCCTTGTAAAAACCCCTCATAGAAGCCAAATATGTGTATTTTTGGGTGTGGTCACTAGATGGGGCTGTGGCCTCCAGTGTATGAACCAAAGGGTGACAGGTAGTAGACAGGTGTTGAACCCGGAAGAGCGCACAAGTTTTTGACTGCTGTAGTGGAGTCATTGTTAATGCTGTTGCCGTGCATCACGGAGTTACTGGATTTGTGCATAACTGGTTTAATCTAAACAGAATAAATTCTGAATTTGCTCCTCAAAAAAGACCAGCGTGACATAAATCAGCAATGGATCAACACTTAACTAGTATAGCATTAAATTGGCTGGTATACCGCTAATTGTCAAGCCGCCATGCAATATTCTGAAAGCACACAAGCAAAACCACCTCTAAATAGCTTACCGCAATGCAATGGAAGGTATTGGACTGGCCTAGCCATAGGGTGGACTTGAATATGACTAAGAAGCTATGGGAAAAGTTCAATCAAATAAGTTCATGCTTTATATTGTAGTGAATAAAACAATTCTGCAAAAAGAAGTGGGCCAACAATCCTCCACAGTGATATAAAAGGCTCCCTGTCAACTATTGGCTTTTTTCACAAAGGGCCAGGTTGGGTTAGAATAGCACTTTTCTCAACATTATTGCAGCACTGTATAACAGTGACTGCATGCAAAAAACAAGCACATTTCCACAGCCACTAATAACACAAGACTGCATGTCAGAGAAAGGAGTAGGACAGATGGCAGTCATTACTTCTGCAGGAAGGGCATTCAACCTTTGGACACTTTACTAACTCAATTAATCTAAAGTAGGTCTGATGATGATGAAGCTATTTTTCAGGATGACACCCAAACTGCTGGGCAAAGAGTACTGACGTTATTCTTGACATATAACTTACAAAGAATGGGTAATATTATACACATGTAAAGTAACAAACATGGCATATTTACATTTATATAATGGATGACTCACTATGATGGGGACATGTATGTATGAAAAGTCATAATCCTTTAATGATTTTCACACCCACCTGAGACAGAGAGCATTTCCTCATCCTCCACATCAGAGGTGCCACAGGTTCCGGTACTGAAGCTCAGTGGTAGAGTGATTTCTCTCTTGGGAACGCTGCGAGGTTTAGGAAGCAGAGGAGGCTTCTGGAGCTTGGTGCGCTGCTTTGGTATCGGTAATTTTCCTTCCTCTGCATGTTTGGTGGTCTCAGCTGTACAGACCAATGCTTCTGGTAAGTTCACTGAGGTGTTTTCAACATCTTCTACAATTCTCAATTCCATCATTCTTTCCTCAGCTTCTGGTTTTAAATGCCCTTTACTTATCTCGCTGCTTGCCTTTTGTCCAGTTTCAACGGTCATGTCATGTACCTCCTCTAAATGTCTTTGCTCTTCCCTACAGATTTCATCAGCCACTTCTTTTGGTTCTTCAAGCTTCTTTAAGTTGACACATTCATCCTGGCTTTCCTCTTCTTGACTTATTTTTCCGTTTTCTTCCTGCTCCTCTTTGTCAACGACTTGCTGCACCACATTCTCCCTAGTCTCGTTAAAAACTTTCATTGTTAGATCTTCTACTTCTTTAGATTCTGGTTCCTGTAGATGCTCTGGGCTTTTCAGGCTAAGCCGTCTTATTCTAGACACAGAGTCCAGTTCTTTAAGACGGGCCATTCTGTCTGGAGTCAACCCAGTCGAAGCAGCAGCAGATGAAGCTGCAGAACAGTTCAGCTTATCTTGCAGAGATTCAATAAGTTTGCATGTTCCGCCTCTCCCTTTCTTTTCCCCACTATATATGCTCAGTGATAAGGTCTCGTCTGGTGTGACTGGTAGGGACAGAGGAAGCTTACTTGGTGGGAACTCGGGGATGTCGAGAACTGATGGAGTTTCTTTATCCTGGTTCTGCTGGCCATCACTGTGGTCATTTGTGTGCTTTAGTCTGTCTTCTTCTTCTTGCACCACACTAGACTCTGTCTTCCTGATCTCCTCCATATCTGGTCCCTGGACTATCAGGGATTCCTCTTGGACTTGCACAATCGCTCTTGTTACTTGCTGTGTTTCTTCATTGGAACTTAGCTGTTTGTCAACCAAAGCAGTGTCCATTTCAGGCTCGTCGTCATCCGACTGTTTGTCTTCAACACATAAAGCCTCAACGGGAACAGCAATACCTAAGATCCTTGCAGCCCTCTCCTCTATAGACTCATGTTCAGGGATTCCTTTTGCAAATTTCACCTCATACAGGTTGCTGAGGTCTTCTGTAGGCAAAGTGTTAGCTTTTTCCTGAATAAGTAGGCTCTCTAAGTGTTTATCTGCTATTGTTGAGTCATTTTTGTATGTTAGAGGTTCAGAGAGTGCATATCTTTCATCACTATCATCATCTCTAAACACATGAGACACCTCCATTGTCCGTCTTGAATTATGTAGCGAGTTGCCTTTTTCAGGTGACAAGCAACTTTCCCTCTGTATTCCACAGACTTTTGATTCACCACCGAATGATGAGAGGTCTGATTTAGAGTGTCCTTTCAAGTTACTATCAAGTTCTTCTCTTGAATTGTGCTCAAAGCTGCCACTAGTTCTCACACGAGATGTCACGGACTGACTATGATCTTTATGACTGAGTGGAGATGGGACTGAAAGTGAGCGCTGCATTGGCTCTCCTGGACCACCAGGAGTTTCTGTGTAGACAGTAAGCCCCACATCCCTCAACAAGGACTCTTGAGGAACTGGGATGTCCTGCCTGTAGAGATGGTTTGAATCACTGCAGGGGGGAACAAAAGATAAGAGAAAATTGTTGCTTCGGGTTGGTTTGGGAAGAGGGGCTTGCTTATTTGTTAGTGGGATGTTATTGGATTGTGGCTTGGAGAAAGGTCCACTCATTTCCATCGATTCTAGATCAGCACTAGAGGCAAAAGACTTTGATCGCTTTTTTATATTATTGGGCCTTTCGATGTGCATTGGTGGGAGACTTATTGCTTCCCGGCCTGGTTCTGGACCATCAGTGAAATGTGCCCCTTTTTTAAAACAAGCCAGTCTTTCATCCGCACTGTCATTTTTAAATCGACTCACATTTGGTCTTTTACTAATCGTGTCTTCCATCTCTTTGTTAATAGTCTCCAATTCACCAATTGCGTCACAGGGTCGTCGGTTCACTGGCTTCAAGAGAAATTGCCCAAAGACCAGTTGTTCTTCACTTTCAGGTGGACCGCTCTTCTTAGGAGAAGATAACTGATGTTCTCCTTGATTTTGTGTCTTGGTAGGAGATAATGAGTCCTGTTGTGTGTGCTGAAGTGATTCTGTTTGTGTTGGGCTTAGGCTAAGACGGGAGAAGGCGCTGTTACTGGAAAGATGAAGGTTTTTTTGACCCGTCATTGGGTATCCATAAGAGGAGGCACTACCAGTCCCAATATCAAGATCCATAGTTGTATCTGAGGCTGAATGAAGAGCCTCCTGTCTCTTGGTAGGGCTTTGGGTTTCTGGACTTTTAAAACCTGTCACAGGTGAGCCTGTTTGAGTTTCCTGGTTACGGTATTGGTTTCCAGGCCAAGATCCACTATAGCCTAACTCTTTGCCCTCATTGGCTTGGAGTACCCAGGCATCTATGACCTCCTTTCTTAAAGGAGCTCTTTTGTAATTCCTCATTGAGGACGTGCTGGTAGTGTGGTAGTGAGAGTAGTGTGACTTGATAGGTATCTCGTTCACAGACTTGCTACGGATGTTGGGGCTTTCTTTGAGACCTACAGCAAAAGTGTCAGTGTTCGTAACGGTGAGGTTTAGCATTGCCTCGTTATTGTTCTGATCAGCTGCTAAGCCTTTATTAATGTTTGTTGGCGTGTGAACAGGGACAGACACCAGGCAGAAAATGGTTTCACTCACTCTTCTCTTAGTGTTCCTTTGGATTTCTTGTCCTGACTCTGGAACAATTGTCTTTACTTGTGTGATGGTTTCTGCAAAGACCTGGTCTGAACTGGACCCCTGACGAGAAAAGGACTTTGTTAACGGGGGCTGAAAAGCTGAAGAGGGGGACGACGGCGATGGCAGAGTGTTGAGATGTCTGTTGTTGCAGTTTTGGTCAGGTGCTCGGAAGTTACTTATAGTGTCTTTGTGCAAATCACTTCGCCACCTTTTATTTTCATTGTCCACATTGCTAGAACACGTCTGGTTATTTTCACCTGCCAGTTTGGCAGAGATGAAAGGCCCCAGTGGCGGGGGCAAAAAGGCACTGTCATCGGGTGCAGGCTCCGATACGGTGACGCTGGGAAGCTCATTACGGATGTGGCGGATTTTGTCAGCGTCCGTCAGAGAGTTACCACCCAGAGCTGAGGAAATGTGACGAATGCGAGGATCATCGAAGGAGATATACTGAACTCCTCCTCCCGAATGCTCCTGGGTTGAATACACAGGGTAAAGCTGCTTCTGGCTGGACGCACTTCTGTCTCTGTGGGGACCAGGCCAGGAACAAGCTGGATGCCTGATGAACCAATGAGATCCATCAGGAGCCACTTGTATCTGTGGATACATATCCCCTCTGTACCTAAAAGTTAAAGGAACAAAGAAAACATGAAAATCAATACAACGGTTTTATGAACAGATACACTTGAATAAATATGTTGCACATTTATGTTGCTGCATATTTAGACATATAAAGCATCAATAATGAAAGATTATCAATAAAAAAAATGTTTCTGTCTCAAATACTTGATTGAACTACTGTATTTTTTATCTTTATGCAATAAAACCACACCTTGTTACTGCTGATAATGTTTTCATCTGAATTAGTTGATTGAAATGACTGATAATTTGGCTCATAAAATATTTCAATACAATTTTCGTCAATTGGACAAAAAGAGTTGCCTTTCCGCTTTTTTATCTTAGCATTTTGAAATTGTATTGGCTTATGTTTCAATTGTCTGATCATTCACTTACATCACTTTGATACATGCATGTATTATGATGAGTGGTCCAGAATGCTTAAATATCTGATGTGATTTTTCGAAACCCATTCAATGCTGCTATAGCTAATACCACTGTCTTAGCTAGCAGCATCTTTTGCGAACCAACACTATGGGTGCAGCAGATTACAAAATTACTTATAGCAGATTAACAACAGTCAACAGCATTTCCATTTCATGGGGACTCTCTATTAAAATACCCTGAATTGGACTTCTGATCTTAGGTTCACTTCAAGTTTTATATTGAGATCTTTTCTTTTTGTTCTTCTCTGAGAAGGCAGTGTTGAAACCGCTGCACTGGTTAGGCAGCAGCTAGGCTGCAGAGAAAACATCCTGTCTGTAAGTGAAAGGCAGTGGTTAACACACATAAATGACATTCATGTGTGTTCAACACAGACTGAGGCTTAATGGGGTAAAAACATGTTTAAATTATTACTTAGCTAATTCAAATATCTTGAATGAGAAAGGACTGTGCTGAGATGTTATGATAAAACTAAACTATGATCCCTGTTTCTGCTTAATAAGTCAATTTTCATGAGAATGAAAATAAAACAGATGGCAGACAATTAAGTCAGCTCCTAAAGCCTTCACCAAATACCTGACCAGAATATAATTTTAAACAGTGTCTGCTGTCATTTTTGTGATCATTTTCAGACATCTAAATCCAGCAGTGGCTCTTTTAAACTGAGCTCTTCATGTTTAAGTTTAATAAGAGAATGCTAATGTCTTATGAAAAAAGGTGATAATAACCTGTACTCAAAAGGAACATCTCCATATCCTCGAAACGCCCCTCCCATTATTGGAGCTCTTTTATAAGACGGAGGGGGGATATACCCCGGAGGCCCAGAATCCTGTGCAAAATAGTCCAACTGAGGATCTTTACTTCTCAATGTGGGGATGGGAGTTCTGTCCCTTGCCATGGGGGTCACTGACTCTCTGCCGGACAGAACCTCGCAGCTTCCCCTGATCTGCTGGTGCATCTCGTATGAAGGGGGTCTGGGGGGTCGTGTGAAGCGGGCCTTTGGTGTGATTGAGAGTTGGTTGGCACTGGCCGGCCTCCCGTTTTCTGGCCAGCGAGGTGCTCGGTAAAAGTCTTGGTGGGTCAAAGGGTGGCCGTTGACCCGCCTGAACATTTCTTTACCAGACAATGCTATGTCCACGTATTGCAGGCTCTCGGGTTGCAACACCCTGGGCAGAGACTGGGACTTAGCTTTGGTCCTAGGGTGGACTACCATGCCCTCCGGCGTTCTGGCATGGAGTCGCTGCTGCTCCTGTCCCCAACGCTCCGCCTCGCTCTGAGACATCTGGCGGCTGAAGCTTACAGCTGGGTGCCACTCCTCCGTCCCCAGGCTCTGGCATTTCCTCTCAGTTGCCATCCTCCATTGCTGGAGGGCGGCTTCCCTTTCTCTAGAGCGGCCCTGGGCCAGGGCTTGAGCTTGGGCGTGGGCTGCCCAGCGCTGCCTTTCCTGAGCTGCTCTCTGACGGTCCTCCACAGAGAGCTCTTGACCTCTGGCCTGCTGAGGCCCTTCTGGCCTGCTGTACCCTCCCTGTCCCTTTCCATGGGGTTCCCTGATGTCAGCGTAGTCCAGCAGCACGCTGAAATCCTGTCCTCTCCTCCTCCAGTATGAAACATCCTTGGATTGTGGCTGTGGGCCTCTGTTGCCATCACAAAACCTTTAAGGAAAGCCAAATGAATGAAAATGTCAGAGTGCCTTCTGTGAACTGAACAAAAGTGGACAAAATTCGAGAGGTTTTATAGTTATAGACACGCTATAAGATTTTTCAGTGAGAATCTTAAGTCAGTGCTGATAGTAGTGATTATGAAACATATGCCTAAAAAAACACCAATAATAAAAAAGAAAAAAGAAATAATAAAGCTATACTAAGGCTGGACAACAAATCAATAACAGTTTGTATTGCAATAGATCAGTATCAATATTCTGATAAAATATCTGATAAAATATCAGAATATTGATACTTCACTGAACTCCAATCTAGAGCCGCACAGCATTCTGGTAGATGTAGGCTTAGGAAAGTCTTAAACCGCTCAACCTTCAATTCAATTCAAAATTAAAATATTTTTCATTTAAACTTAATTTGATCCTCTCACAGCCAGCTAAGCAAGTTAATTGATTTAGCCTTTGGTTACTTAGCAACAACCTGTTCAGCTACTTGCACAGCAGCAGATTCAGGTTTCACCACCGTGCCTCATAACTGATAAAAAAAAAAACAGTGTGGAGAGAAAACTGCGGCTAAAACAGGAAAGGTCAAATCAATTTGGCATTTCAGTCATACAGTGACCTGAAAAAGAAGTAATGAATAGTTTTTCATCATCACTTTTGTCATTATCACAATACAACCACTCACTCCTATTGGAACAGCTAATTTCCTTAAAAGGTTCAGTATTAACTTTCCTGGCATACAGTGCCATTTTATAGAACAATTGCTTTCAGTTGTTAAATAAATGCTATATATATCAAATATGATTTTTGCATTCACTCAAATTGATTGACATTAGATTTGTTTGATGACATGAAACATTCAAACGTGACAACAAAAAAAAAGTCCATAAGAGAACAAATTTTCACAGCAATCCAGGTACCATCATAACGACAAAATACTCAGAAACATAAACAGATGGGAAAAAAAGCAAAATGATATAATCAGAAATCCTGTCCCACTAGATGGAGACAGATGCCTATAAATAGCCATGTAATGTTAGGTAATTGAGCTTTTCTACAGGGCACAGTGAACACATTACACAATGACACACTGTGTCTGTTATTCCTACACTGCTGTCCTGAACACATCAGGGCTTCAGACGCCGTTTCACTGACGTCCTTTCTGTCGCGATTTCATTTTTTCGCTCCCCGCCTGGAACAGCGAGCCGAATTTCACTCCGGTGACGCTCGACCGCGGGCCGCATGGGCAACAACGAGACACAGTCGTTTCAGGCCGTTCCTGGTGATGCAGACTGACTGGAAATGTAAACAAGACGCAAGCGCACATGTGCACATCCTCCAGAGGCCTCGGCTGCCGAGCGTCCTTGACATTTCCATCCTCGATCATTACCGGCCAATGAATGTTTACTGGAAGAGATTGGGGAGGGAAGAGGAGAATAGAAGAGGATGGAGGAGGAATGGGGCCACAACAGTCTGGTAAATCTGAAGACATTTAACGATGAGTTGCCATCATCATCAGTCTAATTGGGTTAAACAGGACTGGTCTGGAGGGAGTGTAAAGATAGGTCTGGTCCTTATCTAAACCAAAGCTGCCAGGCTAAACGCGTTGGGGCTGAAGATGGATGAACAAACAACAGATTGAAATTGCGGAACATATGTCTGTAATTCCCACATTCCCAACAGCAACGGCATCCCAGCTTCACGATATAACAAAACAGCTGAGAAAACGCACAACCACTGAGGCTAATTATGGGTTACGTGACACATTTCAGGAGTCTGCCTTGGTAGCTAAAACAGTTTGGAGAGGAAAAACTCAAATTTGTCCTAACAAAATATTTGGGGGTGGAGGGGGAATCCAGCAGCCCAGACTGATTAGCTAGACAAGAAAACATCTGTATTGACTTTAGTCTTATTTACGGTGAACTGAAGCAAATATACAAGATCAACAGCTCTGCTGTAAAAGTCCCAGACTGGCTAAAGTGGGGCAACATCCCTAGAAAATATTCCACACTCCAGCGTCTCCCTATCTGAGAGACTAAATATAGCCAATCCTCCATCTACATGTTTAAATATTCCCTATATAACTGCTGTTTAATTCATGACGTATCCATTATGGAGGCAGGCATATTATGTGTGAAACACCGGGAGCCAGTGGAGCCAGTTAGGCATATTGGTTTATGTGAGTGAAAAACACGGAAGCAGAGGAGGTATCCTGACAAACCTGGCAACCTGTGTAAACGTGGGGTGCGCTGAAACGGGGGGTTGAGGGAAGCAGCGCGGGTTTGCCCAAAAGCTGTGTTGATTACAATTCCAAGAGGTCCCATGAGGGAGATTAACACATGAGCATACATTATCCCTCTCCTGCTTAAAAAAAAAAAAAAAAACGGTTTTAGAAGAAGAGGAGGGATGAGAAGAGAAAAGTAATGAAAGGAGCTTACACACGAGGACGAATTTTAGAAGTGATCGACGAATCAACCTGTGGTGTTAAGAGGTTTCGTGTCATGGAGTACCCACACGCCTCTATTTTCTGTAACATAACCACCAGACCAAACAGAAGGAATGTTATCAATTATCGAAGTTTTTAAAGACATGTTACTCCGATACTCCAAAATACAATTCCGTTCAATCAATTGCCATAAGATGCCACCTAATTAGTAAATGTCTTCCACCTGCGTTGCGCAACATAAGTAATCGTTCGACCATAGCGCATGGTGCTAAGTAGTGAAACCTACTTTAACAAAGCTTCGAGGCAAATGATTTGCGTGGAGGAATTTTAATAATAGAGGCTCTTGAATCATTCAATGAATTGCTGGAGAACTGGTCTGATTAGTTGCAGAGGGGGGGCTGTGAACTAGCGGTGGACTGGTCTGTCAGTCAAACCTCTGTCATGGCAGAGCAACAGATAATGGTGAGTGCTGCTATTATTACTTTATGTTCTGTCTCAGATTTGTTTCTCTTTTGGAAGTGTAGCTGTGGCGCAGTCAAAGACAAGGCCAATGGCTGAGCTATTGCTGACAATCACTTTATGCTCTCTCAGAAGTCTGAGGAACTCATCAATCAGGTAAAATACAGTTGTGGTGAAGTTTAAAAGCATGATTAGATTCTAAAACAATTTTCCAAGGTTTTAACATCCAACAGAGCCCTGCTCAACCCATCACTCAAAAATGGGAAAACCGCAGTACATCTGCACTTGGCCTTCCATGTACACTGGCTGGCCAGGCAAAAACAGAACTAATTAAGAGAAGCAGCTAAGGAGTCCAGGTTATTCTGGAGGAGGAACCGATATCCACGGCTCAGCTGAGACAATCTGTAATTATTAGATGTGCAGTCTGCTAATTTGGTTTTTATGTAAAAATTGGCGAGATGAAAGCATTCGTGGAAAGAAAGCCATTACCATTTTTGCTACAAGCAATGGAAGCAAGTGTTCTGGTTACATGAGATCAAAATTTTACTTTCTGGCTACATATGGAGGGAAGCTGACAAAGCACATCACCTGAAACACAGCATCCCTACTGGGAAATCATCACCATGGTGTGGAGATGTGTTTTTTTTTAGTAACAGATCAGAGTTAAAAGTAAATCCTGTGGTGGAGGTTTACCTTCCAGCAGGAGAGCAATCCAGAACACACAGAGCTGCAGTGGAAAGGTTTAGATCAAAATGTATGCATGAGTCAATCTAAATCCACTTAAGAATCAGGACCGAGGCTTTTAAATTAATATTCTGGTACCCTGCATTCTGAGCTCGACCTATTTAGGAGGACGGATGGGTAAAAAGTCTTCAGACGTACAAAGCAAATATAGACTGCATCAAAAGTGGTTCTGGAAAACAGAGTTGTGTTGATAAATGAATGCCACAATTGTTAACATTGAAAAAGTTAAATACTTTTGCAAAAGTTAAATAAAAGTTATGCCCTACTTTGTGTTGCTCTGTCCTACAAAATTAAAACAATACATGTAATTTTTATAAACAATATGTTTGTTTCTAGATATTTATAAAAACTGTCACTATGTCATGATATTTAAGGTCAGACAGATCATCTGAAAAACATCAAGCTCCGCCCCCTTCCTGTGGTCCTACAGGCATCTGCAGAAATACACAGAAATACACAGAGCCAATCAGAGCTGGTTGGCTCTGAAACAGCCAATCAGAGCCAGTCATCATCCTCACACTTAAGCCTGTCACAACAATAGATTCTACAATCTGTTATTGTCCCAATAACTATTGCAATAAATATCATTTGGAGATCATTTTCAAAGAACATGCCGACAGACTTTCTAGCAAATGACAGCATTTCTTCAATATCAATAATTAATTCTGCAACAAAAACTCCACACTGGATCCAGAAGGTTTTTTAAGCATCGAAAATAGAACACAACAACCAAAAACAATAAGTAAAACACACACAACCAAAACCATAAATAAAATAGATAAAATGTGTCTCTGTAAACATAATTATCCTTCATAAAATATAAACCATCAGTATAGAGGTTATTGTGCTCATTTTAATTTATTATGTGATTAATTTAGTAATTGCTCAGATAATAGTCTCCGCCTTGCTCTCTGCTATTCAGTTCCCCATAATGTAGGAATGCTAAAGCAGGCTAGCTTGGCTGCCAATAACGATGGTACAGTTTTCCTAGAACAGTATATTGTTTCTCCACCATTAGCACACTGAGCAATGCATGCACAAGCATGACTGACAGTGCTAAGACCCTCCTTTTGGCTATGATTGGCTGTTTCTAACTAAGTGGTGCATTCCTACAGATGGCAAAAGGATCACAGGGAGGAGGCAGAGGAGCTTTTATTTTTCACCGATATCTGTCTCGTATTGTACCGTCAGGATACGGTGGATAAGTTTACCAAATATGTAAATAAAGAAACACATTGTTTTCTGTTAAATCACATGCAGAAATACGTTTTTACAGTACAGGAAGCCATTGTAGCATCAGGTCTTACCCGCTGTCTGACGTCAGCGACTCCCCCAAGGAGTGGGTGTCGGTTTGGCCCCGGTTCTCACTGTCTCGTTTCGGCTGGCTCCCCTCCCTGGGTTCATTGTTGTTGTTGGGGCAGCTGCTGACATATACCTGGGGGTGCCTTGTTCCACCGCTGTTCCCCATGGCCAATGCAGGCCCCCGCTCATAGCCGTTCACTGTCCTGGGGCCAGACCTGTTCTCCAGGACTTCATGGTGTTTGCTGTAGGACGGCGGCGAGGACGAGGGTGGTTGACGGGCGGATGACGATGCGGGGACTGGCGTAGGGGTGGAGGAGGCGGCATGTCTGGGTAGTTTGTATCCATGAGAGATGAGGAGGTCCTCCACGCTGTACATGGTGGCATTTGTTTCTTCTGGTGCTGGTGTTTCCTCCCACCCCTTCTCTGCCTTTAGGAAGGTCGCTTTTCAAGGCGTCTCCGCTTCTTCCCTTACACACACAGGCAGGATTACCGGCACAGCTGCACAGTGGAGGCCATCACTGGGAGAGAGACAGACAGAAAAGAGGTTAGTGTGAACACACTTGAAGAGAGACAGAAGGGAGAAAGAAAGGTGAGGGTAAAACTATTATCCTCGCTCTCCGTGTCCGAATGTTGTCAAGACCTTTATGGAAATTTGAGACAACTGGGGGAAAAAAGAAGGCGCCATGACATAAGTGAGTCCCCTCCACCCCTCCAACTGTTCCCTCATCTCCTCCTGCGCAGCATCATCAACAGCTGCAAGAGGAGTTTCGGAGCCTGTGCTGCTGCGTTAAAAAGCAGGGCCACTGTTAGCGTTTGGATTCCCACAGACTTCCATCTGGTAGCAGCATTCCCAAGCCCATGTTTTGCATCACCAAAACTGCTGGAGGACAGTGTCCCTCTTGTGTTCACCTCAGCATCACTAAAGTGTGTCCGCAAGCAAGAGCCTGTGCCCAACTCCCAGGACAAAGTGGAGCTTGTTCAAAGCGCTGGTTGGGCTCCGTCAGGGCTGCCCCTTTGTCCCTGATCCTGTTTGCAAGGTTCATGGGTGAAAAATTAGTCGCAGAGAGGATGGGGGTCTGGTTTGAAACTTTAGGGGTTTAATTTTTGTCCTTTGCAGATGATATGGTTCTCTTGGTGCCTTCAAGCTATGACCCTCAGCACCCTTCCGCTGCAGCTGAGTGTGAAGGGTTGAGGTAGCGTAAAATCATAGTTTTCAACAAGAAAAAAGACAGATTGACTGCTCCGTCCAGGTTAACCTCTTCCTCAACTGGAAGATTTTATGTATGTCGTCTAGAATGGAGCAAAACAATTCAAAGGGTACAGGAGGTTTTGATATCTCATTAGGATGCTTCCTGGTTGCCTCGCTCCTCTCGCTAGTTAATGCCTTATAATGTGGAAGTCATTGGGGGAGAAGAATGTCAGTGTTTACCCAACTGGAACTTTTCTCTACTTATTCAAGAACCAAATCTCGAATAAGTAGTAAAAAATGAATAGATGGAGGATTTTCCAGACATGCACTCAGCCAATGGGCTTCCCAACAGGATAAGTGTTTATCTGGACAAAATTGAGAACTATTGCAAGAAATGGTTCACACCTGATAATCTGGTAGACTTGGTTCGATTGGGGACCCAAATTGAAACATTTGTTACATTTTCAACTGGTGTGGTTCGCTTTCACAGTGCACTATGTCGAACCAACCAAACCCTTTGAACCTCCTCGCCTGTGGTGACGCAGTACCAATAATTGTTAAAAGAAACGACACAAAAACAATCATATCACCAACGTTTTGGTGCCCGACTTCTTGACCATACAGACACTGAAATTAGATGGAAACTGAGCTGTTAGCGTGTCACCACGGTCATCAGACCGTCATACAGTAATAGAGGCCGGCTGCTGCATCTCTATCCAGTGGATAGAGCATCCACCTGGAAGATATGAGTTATGACTACGTTAAATTTCACTTTCGGATTGATTCAGTGAATTGAAATAAATTGAATTGAAATGAATAGAATGACTTTCAGTCTCAGATCATTGCGGACATATCTTAGGTCGGGTCCAGACAGAAACATTGCACCCAGTGATTGTTTATCAGTCTTTCCATTGTAGATTTGCTGCTGTGCTAGGAATCATCGATGTGAAGTCTGCTGCTGGTAGAAATTTCTTCAAACGCTTGATAATGATCACTTAAGTAAATAAATTAGCAGCGTCAAACTACTACTTCCCCTTACAAATTCTACAGAAAGAGCCAAGGACTATTTCATATTTCCACAAATAGCCTTTTCCATTTTGGTGTTTCACTTTCGGTCAGGGAATAATAACTGTGTGGAATCTAGTGTGTCAAGTTGCGACCAGATCATTTTTTAAAAAATTTTTTATTAAATACATCCTCATATGTAAAACAGTAGAAATGAATGGTGTGTCAGAAGAACATCTACTGCAACATTTTTTTTCAATTCTAATTCATTCACGAACAGCAAATACTAAAACAATTGCCTTATTAAACAGAAAAAGTTGAAAAAGATTCAACTAAAAAAAAACTCTTCCTACCCATTAAAAAAGCCTAATAGTAAATGTTTTACAAATTCATAATTATACATACTCTCTGTGCCCCTCCAAAAAGATGACAATGACTCTTATCTTGAAGGACTAATGAATGATTGCATTAGGGATACCCAGTTTGCATCCTCTCGTGATGTAATGCCCTTGATGAAGTCATGCTTGATGCCTTGTCAGAGGCAGAGATGCTGCTGCAGCCCACTCATTCATGCAAACAACCTGGCTGTCCTCAATAAGAAACGGCATAAAAGAAAAGCGCCGTGTGACTCGCTGCCAGAATCAAATGCCGTGCAGACGGTTTTAAAGCCAATCACACTGGGATTGTTAAAAGGCAGAGCCAAATCGCTTGTTCCCCCCTCCCCCCTTCATCCCCCATCTTTTGAAAAAACAGACGGCTGACGCAGCCTCGATAAAATGTATTCAGCTGCAAACTGATTAGCATTTGTTTTGCTCGTCTGTGTTTGTTTAGCCATCATAGTTTCATACAGGCAGAATGAAACGGAGCTATAAAAAGCCATCTGAGAGGGCAGCATGGCTTCCTCGTACCTGAACCCCAGGACAGCCCGCTGGGTGATTAGGTGATTAACGGGATCCGGCACCGTGAAAACGCCGCTCCCTTTGTGCGTCTGGCTCTCTAATACGATTATTATTATTTTTTTTTTTTCATTTAAAACCTTAAACCTGTTAGTTTTGGAGGATTGACTCTTGGCGCTTAGCCAGTTAATGCTTTTGTTGAGTTTAACTCTTCCCGTTTGTGATTTGAGTAATCCCCTCAAGAAGAGGCCGGTTTGGAGTTTCCAAGGACCTTCCTGTTGAAGCAATGTCAATGCTAAAGAAACAAAGGGGAGGGGCTGCAATTAATTTGCTTACAGATGAGTGCGCAGACATAGGACGCGCAGCATTTTACTCATCATTATTTCCTGAACTTCAGCTGAACTTGTGTTGGGTAAAAAAAAAAAAAAAATTATGTTGCTTTTGATCTGACATTATCTCATGGAAACACTACAAATGGCAGTAAAAGATAATGAAAGATAATTATAGTGGGGAAAAAAACATTGAACTTGACACCTCTTCCTTGTCTATAGATATGAAATTCAATACTAATTGATGACCTATAATGACCTACTATAATCAAAGTTATCCCAAAAGAAGCACGAGTAGAAGCAAAAACCTCTCTAGACCTTTGCGACCTTGTTGTAAAAGCATTGGCACTGGTTCCAATAATATTTCTAAACTTCTGAATGCTCCAGAGACCAGGGACAGAGACCAGGGACAGAGACACATCACATGACCAGGTTCTTCTCACAAGATATTTGACAGAGGAGCCAAAAGACTGATCAGAAGAGCCAATGACAACTTTCAGTGAGCTTTAAACACATCTGGAATTAGTAGGAACAGTTTCCAAACAGGCAAAGGCTTCATGAATACAGGAAGGTCACCTGTCCTTAATCTTACTAGATATCAACCTGCTATAACCAGGGTCAAACAAAAGGTCACAACAAAATAAATCTAATCTATAATGAAAACTATTATTACCCTGGTTCTAGCTCACCGCTCCTGGGTTTCCCTCTAGCCGAAACCCAAAACTGAGCCACTTACCCCCGGAGTCATAACTAAATGAGGATTATCTCCAATATGGATGAAAAGTTGAGTACGTCTTCCTCTAAAAGTTGAGCTGTTGTCGTACGTCCCATCCACCTTCCCTCTTCCTTTCCTCCTTCCCCCTCTGCCAGAGTACCATTAATGCCGTTACACAATGGAATTACCCGTTTTATATCAAATAAAAACCGTGATTCATGCAACAGTCCGCAACAATGGCCAGCTTTCATTCCCCAAAACACAACAACATTGTGTTCCTCTACAATGCCTGCTTGTGTGAAAAGACACCACAGCCATCCGGATTTGGCATCGGGGAGACAAAAAAAAAGAAAGAAAGAAAAAAGGGGGAGACAGATCGGCTGTGTCTTTAATGATATGGCTCAGTTAAAGACATTCTGATACAAGCATATGGATAACACATGCAGCTATGTAAAGTCAAAATACATCTAACCATATGTGGGGCAGCAGCATCCTTACAGGATTCAGTGGGAATGGGTCAAACAAAGGGTTGTCAGGGGTTGTTAGGTTGATAAAAAGCCAGGGAAGCGGCGATGTTTTGGCTGAACGTTTGAAATGTTTTGCCCAGGCTGCAGGGGTATGACAGGTTGCAGGTTGACAGTTTGGTGTCAGCTCCTTATTCCTGGCCCCGGCAGAGACGAGGGGCATGGTGAGGACCCCAAGGGGTGCAGGGGACAGCCTGGGTAGGACAATGCATCGCAAACGCCTAAATCAGGCCCTCGGGGGAGGAGCTAACTACAGAGGAGAGTCGGCGTGTGTGAGCGAACATCCGAGGATAGACTGATAACGCGCAAAATGTGGTGAAGGATGGCTGAATGATTTAACTCACTGACGCTTATGTTGTCAAATTGCATAAACTACACGAAAAGAGTGAAGAAATCCTGACTGAAGCTGAAGGAGACCGAGCAATGGGTCTCAAGGGAATCTCATGTGATAGACCAACACGGTTAAGTGAGAAATCGAAGGAGAATGATGCATAGTTTGAATAGTTTCAATTAATCATCAGGAGTAGAAGGCATGAATTTCAGAATACGGCAAAATTCTTCCGAGAAAGGGAAGGGGGAGTAAATGAAAAAACTCTCAACTTAGACAATCAGTCAACAGAAAAACTGTTGATTGTACATATCTGTCCTGTATGCAATAACAGAAGCAATGTTTGAAGAAAGTATCTCTGAAACGATTAATCAGATTAATCATGGTGAATCAGTTGTTGAAATAATCGTCAACTAATTTAATAACAGATTCATTCATAACTAGAATACATAGACTAAAAAGCCAATTTCAAAAAGAATAACATATTCAAAGTTGTAATTAAGCCAAAACTCACCAAAATGTTTGCATTCGG